ATTTCAACTGTGTATACTAAACTGATAGATACACCGAAGCTCATCTCGTCTGGTTTCCAACACGATGAGTAGACTTAGAAGCTTAAACATAGACTGATAAGAAGCCTACATAATGATCGTGTGCATTGATGGGTTGCAGGAGCAGATGAGATGGTAAAGGAAGCGGTGGGAAGTATGATATAATGACATACCTTTTTTACGATTGGATTTTTGCTACATTCCTCTCTTCTTTTTGAAACAAGTATAACATGATGAATTATTAACGTTTTAAACTTATATAATTTCAAATTTACAGATAGAATTATATGAATTTTAATACCTTGTGTCTCTCACCTTTTTTGTTCCATTTTTCTTATTAATTCATTCAGATTCTACTTTATCTTCAATCTACATTAGATGATGAAATAACCGGTGGGAATACCAGATGTTTTAACGATTTTTAGAAATAACCTGACAATAAGTAACTTGAATCATGCCTAAAAAGTAATCTTTTACAAATTACGTGGCTTTATTCTATATTTCTTATTTAATGTGGAAATGAATAACACAGCAATTCCACTTGAAGACTCTGTAAAGTTAGTACCTATTCTAATCTCGGGTAAAGGAAGATGGTTGGACATATGGTTAGTAACTTTACTTCCTAAAGCGTAACCCTGCTGCGGAAACGATATTCAGAGGGAACCTGTTACGGTCACTTATGGAGGTTGAGAAGTATTCATGTATAAGAGTTTCGACGCCTCATGGTAAAAATCTTGAGTCTCCGAAAACCATAGAGCCGATACTCCTCTAGACAACCTGTTGTTTTAATCCGGTCATGAATAATAACCTCCCAACATGCACAAGGAGTTTCATTAATGCTGCCCGAGGAATCAAGAGAAGCACTTATAGTATGAAAAACTCATGCCTTCCGAATCATTAGAGCATCCTTCAAAGCAAAGAATGAAAAGATTACGATGAATGTCATCCAGTGATATACACCTATCAATGACAGCGAAGATGATAAATATCACTTTTATAAGAGGCTGCAGTTCGACATAGATAAACAGTCAGAAAAGGATCTGAATATCCTCATAGTGATCCTAAACGTCTAGGTTGGATGGACAATATCGAGTATGACTGCATTATGAGGTGACATAAAGTGGCATCAAGAAATGAGAATGGTGAGAAGCTGGTAAATCTTTAAAAAAGTTATAGAAGACAGCATTTTCTCCCATAAACTCATACACAAAACTACATGAGTTTTTACCGAACCAGATTATAACAAGCTCATTCAGTCCAAGATAGATCTCGGCAACAAGTTACAAGCCTTACATGATCTATCAAAAAAATGAGGAATCTACTGTAGAGGACAACTAGAAAGGAATTAACAAAGCAATAACTTCAAAATGTCAGGAGTGCTGTGCCTCAAGAAACACGATGGATCTCCGTAAAAAACCTGTCCATGATTCTGGGAAGCAAACAAGGAGATAGTTGTGGTTGAGAGTCACGCAACCTTATCAACAGAGTATTTTTAAACCGAATGAAATATTTAGTCGACGCCCGGATTCAAAATGAAGAGGATGGATTCCGAAGGAATCGGTCGTGTACAGACCAAACCACGACACTATGGATCACTGTTGAGCAGTCAATTGAATGGAACTGACCACTATACATCAGCTTACTTGACTACGAGGAAGCATTTGACAGCATGGATATAAGGACATTATAGAACCGTCTTCGATACTATGGAGTACCTAGAAAGAATGTCATTATCATACAAAATCAATACAGTAGACTACATTGCAAAGAAGTGCATGGAGGCCAACTCACAGACAGATGAATTCCAAGTAGAGACTGGTATCAGATAAGGTTACCTATTGTAACATTTTCTCTTTCTGCTAGCTGACGGGTGAATTACGAAGACCTCCACACTTTACAAGAAGCACGGGACATGGTGGATATCTTTAACTCAGCTGCATCATTTCGACATGGAGACCACAGCGCTCAGCTATCGCATACAAACTAATAACATTATATGCATTTTTAACAGCTTTCGACACAAGAATTACCACATCCATTGGCAAAACATTATAAGCCATAACCACCTCAGGTAGAGGACAAATGAACTACCAATTGAAGAGGAAATTAAGATAAGTCACTGGCGATAGATAGTACATACTATATATCACAGAACGAGTCCTAACTTGGAATCTTCAGTTCACAAGGATAAGATTCAGACCAAAGAACACAGCTCCGTGAATCAGATCTTGACATGGTTATCACTTGAAATCAACAGAAAAGGAATGCCCAGGATACAGTTATTTGAAAATCCGTGGTCGGTGGTCTTTGTTCCATGATGGGTACCAGGCTCATATAATAGTAGTAGAATAATATAGCAGTCAAACATGTTTGTTATTATTATTACTGTTGTTACTGCTGTTATTTAAGTTTCAAATAAGCAGAGTGATATGATATGTACATAATGCCTTCATCTGTCCCTTTTTGATCCACCAGACTAGTGACTACCTTCACTAAATTCACGTACAAAGATCGTTGCGGCAAGGCGAAAAATAGTAGCGATTATACAAGTAGACCGCAGACTGATTGGGATGCTAATATAAACACTCAATAATCATATGAACGTCAGTCAATTGAACCTTAGCGAAGAGCTTTCAAAATTTTTACTCCAATCGATATTTAAAGGAGATACCTCATGTGGTCAACGCGCTTATATCTTTTTAAAAGAGTTTTTACTTCTTTTGGAACACTTTTCTGAAGCTGACTCACACTGTGATGTGTTATCATCAACCTCATTTTCTTAAGCTGATTGATGCAGTATCTTATCATGGCCTTCTTTTTAACTAAATCTTATTCCGCTTTCATGGAGCCGTTTTCTGCTATGAAAATTTTTTTTCAAAATAAACTGATGATCATGATGAGATAATCGAAAATTGAATATTATTGTACCATTTAAATGATTGACCTAAAGTTACGGATGCTTATAGTCATTTCTATGATGAAAGTTTCAAATCGATCGGGAAAATAACTGAACTTACCTTTACACTGGACCACTTGATAATAGATACTAACAACAATTAATTAATAAAGTTCAGTGTATTTTACATTATGTCAATGCACAAATAAGCAGCACAAAATGTTGAACGCAAATTAAAATACAAACTAGCAATCAATAATACACAGTATACATGTGAACAAAAAAACCAATGCAAACAACTAAGTTACAAAGTCATATACAGTCAAGTTGCTTACATAATAAATTTCATTTGGTTAAATTTAACAGCTGTAAACTATAAATAAAACTAAACAACTGAGGCAAGAGTTCGAAACTAGACAGTATAAAATGTGATTTGTAACACTATATATTTTCGATTATGACTGATTAGTATTAATATGTGGAAAAACTAGCCATATAAAATAAATGATTAAATGAAGTGAATAAAGTACGCTTAAATTCATTAATCATTCAGTTTATATGAGAGGTGGAGTAGTTCCAGGGCACATCCAGTTTTATCACGTTTCTATGGTTTAGGTCATAGACATTTGATGATGATAACCTCTGCAAACCCAAGTGACTACGATAATCATTGGTTTTTTAAGGAGATAATTATTTAAAAATAAAGGACTTTTTCCATTTTTATTCAGTTTGTATGTGTTTATAGAAATAATATTAGTCAGTAAAAAACTTTAAGCTAAATGCTTCTTATGTTTCAGACACATCACTTGGTGATTAAATTATGTTTCGACCAGTAATCACATACTCAGCTAATCAGAAAGGGATAAATTTCCAAGGCAAAGAAACTCTAACTTTTTTATCTGGGTTACAAATGAGTTACAGCTTACAACAATTAATTATTTAGACTATCCTATTATTGTCATTTGACTTGGCTGCATTGACAAAGTTGGAAACTCAAGAATTTCAACTCAGTGTGAACGTGATGTATAATTGACGCGATAAAAATCGTTCGAAAAGGCTTTTGTTCTTATGGCTAATAAGTGACAGCCGAAGTTGTGGGTACATGGGGAAATCAATCTTCATGTATGATATGAACTACAAGTGGCTGTACCATGGCGATTATTGGTCACTAATTTATTATGATCCAGTACTCTTTATTCATCTAATATTTTGTGGACAAAAGCGAACTAGATTCATTTATTTCAGTCAGTTACCATATTTGAACATACCTTGAATAACCGATTTGCTTAGCACAGTAATAAAAATACATTTATTTTTAGGAGAACAGAATTGTGGAGTTAGTTGAATTTTATATTTTACATTACCGACTGACAGTTAATTAAATTTTGAAAACCAGGAAGTATTGGACGGCTGTTTCGTCATACTATAGGACTCCTCGGCAGGGTACATTGACAACACCGAAGATTAAACCCATGAACCTTAAGTCCTCAGATAGCGCTTAGATCACACAGTCGGCTTCCAGCAGTTTATGTATGTTACTTCCAGTGATTCGTGATACCACACATCCATCTTTTAACCCCATTGATGGGTTTTCAATTGTTTTTTACGGACAGTCTATAATGTAATCTAAAAAATAAGTGTATTGACTTATTCTCATTCCGTGAATGCTCGGACAAGTTTAATGTGTAGCTATAAGACAGACTAATTTATTCTTACCATTGCCTGGGGATTTTTCACATCAGATCTACACACACATTTCACACCAAATGGCATATGCACAGTGAAAATTCCATATTCATGGTTTTAACATGATTGGGAAATCTTTTTTTAAATAGTTGTATTTTGAAGCTTATTTATACTCGATATTTTGATTTTTTTTTACTATTTCTCTGAAAGAGGTCAAATCAGTCTGTCGAGCTAAACGTTGGAGTTATTTTTAACCCAAATCGCTGAAATCTTTTACATATAGTTTTCTTTTAAAGTATTTTGTTGCAAAGATGTAAATATACATTCTACATGTCATCCAAATGTAATGTTACATCTTTTTTATTTTCGTCACCCATCTTTTTCGCCTTTTAAAAAAAAGAACATTTCAAATGTATTACAAGGAATTCGTGATCGAAACGATTTAGGTCATCCAATTTGTTCACATCTTCGTCAAGGTGATTGGTTAGCCCATTATTTAACTGAACGTTTGGCAAAACTACCACATAATTCTAATAAACTTATCACTGAAGCAATTATTCAAATGAGTGATATTTTAAAAATTATGTATAAACCTCTGTCAAACATTCCAAGATATTTAGTTCCTGCATACTTTGAAGCATTGACTGTTACATTAACAGAATTTATTAAGCTTGAGGTAAATTCTGTTTCAGTTTCTTATGGTTTATTTTTTGCCGTTTTGGTCATCGTATTTTGATTGTTATATTATCATTGATTTATAGGAAGATCGTTACTTTCAAATTATGTAAGGCTAAATAATGTGTTTTCGAGATTACCTTCTTGAAGTTAAATGACCGAATATTTTAGTCATGGTTGAATATGACTGAAAAATTAGTAGTTATTGGATGTTTAAACCACCATAATTTAACCAGAAGTTACAATTTGATCCGTATTATTATTCTCTGACTATTTATCAGTCAATAGTGTTGAACACATACACCACCTTTTGTTTTGGGATGGATAAATTAGGGTATTTCTGAATTACTATTAGTCCTCGGGTTATGAAGAGTTAATATTTACTTAGGGAATTACTTCCTTGTTCAAAACTGAAGTCTCATACTTTTTCAAATTGTCTATTCATACTACAATTGAATGCCTTCTCAACGTCTTGCTTTAAATGTATTAATCTTTTAATACAACAGTACAACTGACTTGCTAGTAAAATAACTAGATTGACTCATGTGGGCGGAATCGATTCCCCAATTTCAACTCGGCTACTGGGTAAACTTTGTGTCCGGCGGTCATCTGACTCTAATACTCATGTACATATTTCCTATATACAACTCCAACCGGCTACTTGAGCGTGAAAACTAAGAATGAATAATAAACTTTTACTTACTAACCCAAATCGATGTATGCACAAACCCATTCATTAATATAGATGTACCCCTAAGAAAACTAAGCTAGATTTTAAACTTGTGGTGTATATCTGTTTCCCTCGATAAATTAAAATAATTCTTGGTCAATGACGTTCACCTATCTCCATCTTTCACTTTTTTCGGCCTTGATCTGATATGTCTGACTGACCTAACCTGTCGAAATGACTGTGTATACGACATTCAACTGACATATTCTATATTATCTATATGATAGATACTGAGTTATACGAAGTTAAAAATGACCACAAAACAGCCAATGAAAATATCCTCCCATTCGCTTCATTAATGAAATTGGACATAAAAGTTGAAAATTTTATATCGCGAAGTCAATCAAAACCGTCGAAACTTTAAATATTTGTGTGGAATTTAAAAAAGGATGACTTTCATTGTATACCACGTAAAACGAGCATCAGAAATATCTTTATCTGGTGCCTAGAGTGTTTAAAAATGTTTTATCATCATAGAGTAGAAATGTTAGTGTTAAGCTTATCAAATTCTCAAGTCTTTTTATATAGATTGTGTATAACTTACAAATCAATTCTAAGCCTAAATCCCAATCAGGAACAGTATAGGGACTTCGTCTCCTTATAAGGACTTTAAAGAAGGAAATTCTATAGCCATATAAAAGAATTAATATGTCATTGGTTTTCCGATTTAAAGTTGGCAATCCTGCTGAAGATTTCATTAATTGTATTATATATATATATATATATATATATATCCCCCTCAAACCACTCATCTACATTAACTATTTTTTTGTTTACAACGGGCTAAAATTTGTCAGGATTGTTTCAAGAATCGCTAAAGCTCGTCACTGTACCGTGCCCTTACCTATATAAAGATCATATTCACTTACATTTTAGCCATTCATTTCAACTAATTACCTTAAATAAATTATTTCAAACTACTTTAAGTTGCAGATAGAAAAGAGTTGACTTTGTTGGATCGATTGCTTAATATTTTCCTTCATCTTATTTTATCGTTGTGAGGTGAAGTACACTTAAATCGGATTCTACGATCTAAAATATGTCTTAATAAAACAGTTCATATATTTTCATAAAATCGAAATTCTGATTGTTGTTTTCCGCTCAACCAATGTCACATACCATATTAAATGCATAGCTTTTATCCTGTTTTTCATCCAATTTTGTTTTCCTAAATTTTCTATTGATTAATACAAACATTTACAAACTATGGTCCCTTCTATTTTATACTGCTCAGAAACTAAAATAGAAATGTCAACAAAGTTGATGCATTTAGTCACTTTATTTACCAAATACTCAAATAACTAGTACTTTTTCTTCATTTTAATTTCTTTAGATTACATTACGATTTGCACCTTGGATAAGAAGTAGCTCATCACTTGCGAAAAATCTAGCAGTAGCTACTACTCAATTTTACGGTTTTATTGGAAATAGTCGTCTTCCTGGACGTGTCATCCAATTTAATAAAGATTCTCAAAATCCAGAAATCGAAGCAATGTTTTGTAGTTTAGCTGCAGGGTTACCACATTTTGCCGAAGGGATGTGGCGTTCTTGGGGAAGGGATACTTTTATTTCACTTCGAGGTTGTCTTCTTCTGACAGGACGTTACCAAGTAAGCCAAAAATGTAGTAGTTCGTCTCCTATACGAAGTTAAAATCTTGAATATTTTTAAAATTGACATTACTGAATTCTTATAATTAAAATGCAGAGTCTCTCACTCTTGTTGTGTTTCCGTAATCACAATCCTACATTTCAAGAGCACCAAAGGAACATATATTTTTGCGTGTGCAATTAACTTATACCTTAAATGCTAGAAGACATTGTTCGCTTGCACGTTATCCATATTTTTCGTTAAAAAATATTGGTCGCACATGTGATAGTTTTAACTTAGTTCAAAGTTGTAGGTGACGAATTAAAAACAATTGACGTGATTTCGAACTTCGGTAGATACATGTGGCTGGTTCATCTGCTAAGCCAGTATAGCAGCTACCAATTTTCGCTTGATATAATTACGCGGTTGCCTTAGTAAGACTTAACATCAGAAGATGATGACACTGACTGTAAGTTTGTACTCAGAACGCTTCTTAATTCAAGTCCACGATACAACATGAACTGATCTTCACAGATAGCGTTGGTATTACCCAAAATCAAATGGAGAAGTCCAATTAAATTCACTTCTAACTTGTACGTTCAACAATTTTTTTGTTATACACATTTGTTATCTATCTACTCAAATTTATCTTGTTTAGTTTAATATCTTTCTTTTGGTGATTCTCGCTTTCTATAGGACTGAAGAATGTTACGAATTTACTAGATGCCTATGTATATGTATATGTATATATGTGTTAACGACATTCCATTTTACACAAGTGACTCTGCTAATTCCAACAAAATTTATAAAAGCTCGTAACAGTTTATAGAGGCACTCAGTGTCATTCTAAGAGTTATTTGCTTTATGACTTAGGTTTTTAAAAAAACTAGATATTTATCAGCTGGAATCTTATGATGACATGGTCCAGATGTTTCTATTCTTTACCTGGATTGTCAACACCCGAATAAATTGAACTTTACTTAGGTTGCTCAATCAGATTCTTCTCCTTATGTACATCGATTAACTACTACTATTAGTGTGCACAACAGACGTTCAATTCCAGTTTAATAGCACCATATATCGTCAAATCGACGGCGTAGCAATTGGAAGTCCACTAGGTCCAATTCTGGCAGATATTTTTATGGGGTATCTTCAAAACATTGTGGTTAAACAGGCGATTAGCAAAACGACGGAATATTCCAGATATGTTGATGACACGTTTACTGTCTGCGACAATAAGCAGCATGCAATCCGCCTGCTAGTACTCTTCAATAATGCTCATCCTAACATACAGTTTACTATGGAACACGAACAGAATGACATGTTCCACTTTCTTGATGTTGCTATAAAACGTAGGAGAGACGGGACAGTCCAACATTCGGTTTATCGAAAAAGTACTTGGAATGGCTTTTACCTGAATTTCAATAGTTTTTGTCCACTGAATTACAAGGTATTACTTAAAACACTATTTTATAGGGCAAAAAGGATATGTACTACTGACAAACTGGAAGAAGAATTGATGAACGTGGGAAAATGCCTACGAGGCAACTTTTGCCCACAAAAGTTTATTGAAAAATATAAAAAGCGTAAAGAAAACAATACTGAAGTAATTACGGTCAATAAAAAACCAATGATTATAAATCTTAACTACAAAGGTGAATATGTTGGAATCACAATCAACAGGAAACTGAATACTGCGCCAGCCAGAACTTATCCGGCGGCCAAACTTGTAATTCTGTATAAAACAACATTTGAATAACTCAATCAAAAGTTGATAGGCATGCTTTTCATGTTACCGCCAATTGTATTTATAAATTTACGTGTACCTGCCAAAGCAGCTATATTGGCCGAACAGAAAGGAGGGCATATCTTAGATTTTTTGAACATGTTCCAAAAAGCCTCAGAACAAGAGACAGAAAGACTCTAAACAGTGCAATCACCAAAAATCTCCTTGATACATGACATCAGGTCGATACCCTACAAACTCCAGATGTTTGTTGAAGTCGTTGTTATCAGACGCCAAATCCTGATTTATGTGTTCAAAAGGAGATGGTTATTAATATTTCCTTGCCTTGTTGACTAATATTCCTTCGCTGTATCTTATTTTTTTCTTTTTCTTTAAACTCTTTCTTGCATTTATTACGTCACTGAGTTTTATTCCAACTATCCTCCAAATTATAAACAAATAGTATATTTGTAATATCCCAATGAGTAGAAAAATTGGATTTTCGGGCGTTTCGTGGCTTAGTGTAAGTCACTTCTTCAGAGAGTAAATAACCAAATTAAAATTAATTTTAATTAATATTACAAATATATTAATTTATTTATAACAATCTACCCAATGCTCAATTTATTCGAAGTTATCAAATCAAACCTTGGTAATGATACCTATATCTTCCAAATTAATAGTCTTATTTTATCAACTGAACTCTACTCATTTTATTCTTATCAACGTTTACATGTTTCTAGCCGTTTGAACTGTTGTCACAATGTTCTTGTCCATAAAGTATATATTTACAATATTCAGTCTATTAAATTTATTTACACCCCTGCTATACTATACTAATATGTCTTCAATATAACTTCCAAATAAACCCTCTCATGTAAGTAATTTAAACCCATTATGTAATTATGATTTTAAATATCACAGGTTGTAAGCAGCTGACGAGAACCAACGAGATAAAAATGAATTCATGCTATTCTGCTATAATGTTTGTTCTTGCTTTTTTCAAAATGTTGAAGGGAACTATGTGTATGGAAAGAGATGTATGCTGACTCAGCTAATTCAAATTAAGGTTAAAGTTGTAATAATCCTAATAACAGCAAAAAATGCAGGAATGAAACAAACACTAGTCTTCCAGCTTTGTATGAAAACCCGACTCAACTGTTCAAAATGTTGTTCAAATGATTAACAACCAAACTTTATCATCACTTAAGTTTATTTTTCCTGTTCTTTTCGAGTTAAACTTCAATCTAATTGTAACCCTATTGAGATTGAACTATTATATATTATAACTTAGTTTATTCATTGAAAAAGCTTTTGTGCAAACTTTCTATTACGTCCTTGAACTATAGGCTAACTGGTTAACCCTGAGGCTAGAAATGCGTTAGTCCGAATCGAGATTAACTGCCTTGTACAGAGAGATGGAAACTATTCCATCACTTGATTAATTGACAAGCGCGAGAGAGAGAGATGAGTCAACTGGAACACCACTCGATTTATTCCCAATCCCGATTCAGGTTAGTGTAAAAAGATATACGAGTACATAGATAACTAAAATGACCACAACGAACAAAATATTAGAAAAATACAATTATGTTCAAATTGGGCATTAGGGTTGAAAAATTGAGTACCAAAGATTGCGTTTAAATTGCAGTAACTTTGGCATGGAACTGGGAATAACTGTGAATTATGCGTCAAGCGAAAGCTTATGCTTTATAGAATAACCTAGGGACCAAACTAAATGTTAGTATTCTACAAACTTTGAATTAAGTGGAATAATTTTTCAAAAAATGGCTTTCGTCGTTTTTCATGGCTTCTTTGTCCCTCTGTTCACATTATTTTCTTTTCTCTTCATTAAACAGGATGCTGCTAACATTATTCTCAGTTATGCTAGTTTATTAAGACATGGACTAATACCAAATCTTATAGGAGATGGTTACACTGTTAAGCCAAGATACAATTGTCGTGACGCTGTTTGGTACTGGTTATATTCTATCGTTATTTACGAACAATTTATTTCAAGTACTAAAGAATGCTGTCTGGAAGGAGATGATTCTTCTAGTATTTTAAATTATCCAGTTTATAGATGGTTTCCAGATGATGATACAGTTGGTTGGCCGGATGAATATTTGACCAGTTCATTATCTAGTCAACGTATACAACCCTTGCATGAAACAATGCAAGAAGCCTTGCAACGACATATTAATGGTATTGAGTTTATCGAAAGGAACGCTGGGCCAACTTTAGATGAACACATGAAACCGGAAGGATTTAAGGTTAGTTATCGATTGTGGCATATATAGCATCCAAATGTCACTTTTGTTTTATATGCTATTGAAGGCAACGATTTAATCATTCATGAATTAATTTACGAATAGGCGATATTAAGAATTGAATTTTTATATTATTTACTCACACTATTAAATTTAAATTCACTCAGTATAGTACGAACCAGTGGTCGGGTTACGTACCCTGAATACGGCAATGTTTATGGATTCTATAAAACAAAGCAACATAAAATATATTCACTGAAAATTTAAGAATCTCGATACATTAGTTTTTATCATTTCATTATAGGTTCAGGCCAATATTGATTTAAATACAGGATTTCCTCGTGGTGGCAACGCTTTTAACTGTGGCACATGGATGGATAAAATGGGCAGTTCATCAAAAGCTGGTAACCGGGGTATACCTGCTACTCCTCGTGATGGTTCCGCAGTCGAATTAGTTGGTTTGGCGTATGCAGTTGTATCGTGGTTAGCAGAATCCCATAATCAAGGTCCAAATTACTCTGGTTATTATCCGCATGCAGGTGTTCAACTGACATCTGGTAAGGAACTTTCATGGAAAGAATGGTCAAATCTGTTGAAAAATTCCTTTGAATCGCACTTTTGGATTCCGGAAAGCACAAAGGACCCTAACTTGCTTTATAATAAAGGAATTTATAGAGATTCTGTTGGTTCGTCTGGAGGATACACAGATAATCAGCTACGCCCCAATTTCCTTATAACTATGGTTGTAGTAAGTTTTAAACTATGCAAAATATGCATTTTTATTAATATTATACTTGATTAACTCAGCTTAACACTACATAATATTATGGGTGTAATTGAATAGATCTTGATAAACGAAGAATATCTCTTACTACTATTATACGTAATGACCTTATCAATATTTTTTTCTTAAAAAGTACTTTTTCTATACATATTTAGGTGTCGTGCTTATGTGAACAGTTAACCAAATAATATTAATTGTGACCCTTATTATCATTCCTTTATTTCACTAACATTCTGTCGTTAACTTCAGCTTGGTAAATGCAACCGCTGTTAACCCTATGATTCGGGGATCAATTGTAAAGCATATTAACTGATATTAAGTATTCATCAGTGTAGTATTCTTTAACACTTCACTTAACTGATTCTCAAATCAAAACACGACTTAGATAGAAACGTAGATATACTACATAGCAAACGACAAGTTAGATCAGTATAGTATATAAATATCAGTGGACACTCAAACTCTACACAGGTAATGTCATGTCTTCTCAGCTCATCCAACTGATTAGTTGAGGGTAAACTAATAAACGCTAGCCATCGTGATTTCAGAAACATGTTTAGTCAAGCCCCTATTATGCTATTAATAGAAGTTGCAAGTAGCTGCTTGTTCATGAATATATGTTCACGCTAATATTTGTCGCGCTAAAATCGTGATTTAGCTTGCATTTAGCAACAAATCAGTTACCGAGATACCCTCTTTTGTAATTATTACTGTAACACGAAGGTCAGCTGGAGAGTGGTATGACAAAAGTATTAGTTTTTGTAGCATAAAAACTGCGTTGTGATAGATTTGTAATGATGATCGTGTAAGGCTTTGTTATCATTAGGATATTTTTCTTGGACTGTATTAAGCAGTACTAGCTAAAAAAGATGTATCACTTGCTTTATGAGATGACTTCTCTCTTAGTAAGGGTTTGTAAAGAACAAATAAAACTCTTTAAGAAGCTTAATTCATACTGCTTTGGTTGTTTGAATCTTTGCATTGACTTTTAGGACTGCAATTGGTCAGTCTCTTATTGGCATATGTACATCCTTTGCGGATTGTCTTGATATCATCTTAAGTCACAGGCAGTATAAACAGAAGTGGATGGCGACTAGCAGTGAAATCCAGGACACGCGTTGTTGTTCGTCATCGATTTAAATGACATACTGATGAGCATGTTCGTAACTAAAAAGACTGTTCCAGATGTTTTGTGACTAAATAAATATTCATTACTTCAATACTTATACAATACAAGTTCACAAATCATTTTATAATTTCATTTGTCTTTGTGTGCCTGTTGCCATTATTTCCCCTTTTTGTTGATTACAATTTGCTTTGTAATAACACCTACTGGTCGCGTCAATGTGATGATGTAGCTGGGTGACAGATCCATTTATTGTAAATGTACCAATAACTAAACGCCTGTAGTTTTAACCAACTGTACTTTTCGTTCTTTCTCAGTCTACTGAAGAATTTTATTTCGAATTGATGAAATTTAATTGAAATTATGAACCGATCACTATTAGACCACTGTTGAAAACCTGGAAGGCCGCTCCATCCTAATATGGACTACTCAGCAGTGTGGATCCACTACCCCGCACATGGTAATTGAACCCACGACCTTCGGTTTTACGCGCGAACGCTTAACAGCTAGACCACAGAGAAGGCATCCTACGGTGCTAATGTCTAGCTCCAACCAACCCACGATATTGCACGACCACCTTCCATTGTCTCCGGTGGGCAACTCTTTCACACGCGCGAGACCTAAGATTCTGGGTTCGATACCTGCATGCGGAGTCTTATGCTAGTATGAAAAGGCCTTCCAGCGCCTCCAGGTTTACTACGGTGGTCAAACATTTTTCGGCTCATGATTTCAGCTAAACTCACCAATATCCACACCTCCATACTGTTAGTGAAATTCATTGATTCCTGCTGTTTCATCTTATTTTCTTGAGTAAACTTGTCTCTAAACGAAATTATTCTAATAGGCCCCTGAATTATTTACACCCGAACGGGCATGGAATGCATTGGAAATAGCTCAACAACGATTAACTGGTCCATTCGGTATGTGCACTTTGAGTCGAGATGATTTAGCTTATCGAGGATATTATGATAACTCAAATGATAGCTGTGACTTTTCTATAGCTCGTGGTTTTAATTATCATCAAGTAAGTCTTTACTTCATTTCTTTATATGCTAAATTTCCACCTGATGAAATGTCTATCACTTCACACCTTTTTTAGTCATATTCGCATTGCAAATGATTTTTTTATCTTTGTCAATCGTGAAGCCACAACTGTTATTACCAGGTTATAAATGGATCATCACATTTTTTTTGTTTTTCGTTAATTTTCTTTTAGAGGATATCATTACCTTGATTTCAATATTCTCATTAATCGTTCCTTAGTTATGTCATGCACACATAATACACAATTCATACTAATGTACTTCATTGAAAGTGTTGATCTTCTGGTTTCTTCAAGTATGACAGTAACATTGACTGCGTGGATCGAATAATGACATTATTCTTTGTATGTTAAACAACTATAAACTTTCATGTCAGGAAGTTAGTAACTTTACGAATAATCTTATATTCTATCGATTTACTGTAGCTTATATGTGCACGTGCATTGAAAAATTAATTATTACCGTCATAGTATACGCACATTCACAGCTATTTCTATTATACATGTATACCAAAAGATTTCACTTTAATTCCATTTTATTCCCGGTGCTGTGGTACGATCTTCATAGTAAAGTAATCGGTACGAGTAAAACAATTCGTCATTACAGAGACATAAAATCTGAATAGTTCACTGCAATTCAAATACACAAAATCAAGATAATTCACAAACCATATTGTTAAATGTCAGATGAATAACCGGGAGTTATATCTCAGTAGCTCTAATGTCAAAACAATTTCATTTTATTCTCATTAATCTCTCCACTACAATCAAGAAGGTTAAGGCACAGTTCAATGCACGACAAACATTTCAATCCTTTTCCAGTTGCTACATTTATCGATCAACTGGCGTATCCGGTGTCATACTGGTTTTCTCGACATTACGTAAATGGTTATACTACCTAATAATGAGTGAATACCGTTCCCTTATAGTCTGGATCTTACTCCGTACTGGTCAAATCAAACAGCCAGTTAACTATAAACTGCACTCAGGTTTTATGTCGTTTGGCTTTAATTTTTATGCCGATTGTGTGATAATGCATCCTTAAAATATTTATTACTTACTATTTTGGATTTAGGGCCCAGAATGGTTGTGGCCAACTGGGTATTATTTACGCGCTCGTCTTAAATTCGCTCGCATGCTAGGCAAATTCGATCCTATACAATGGGGTCATCTCACTCTCAACGTAACTACAGAATGCCAGAAAACATTTGCCAGACTGAATCAGAGAATGGAATCAAGTGAGTGGTGTTCTCTTCCGGAATTGACAAATGCAAATGGTCAGGTAAGATTTTTGAAATCCCTATTTATATGTGAACAACATATGTATATTTTCCACTGTATTAGGTTCGATTCCTCATAGTTACGTAGCAAAGAAATAGATCGACCTCTATGTCTGACCATAGTTGTGTTAACTAGTAAGTCGTTAGCAACGTGAAACCTTGGACGTAAATGACAATTTGCCAACCACATCAGCACAACTAGATTAAACTATTCTGATGAATACTGAGGCAGTATTAGTAGAAGTCGCAGTAGATCTCAGTTCAGTTCATAAACCTTATGGTTGTTATATATTGTTGCATTTTATTTGCGAGAATGGTAATGTTATAAACTACAGTGCCGATTTCTCCTGATTATTAGTAAGGTGATGTAGCATCGTAGTATATTGGGAAGATATGATACTTCACTACATATTGTGATACTGCAGAATGCACGAAACTCAAAGTATATGTGGTTTAATTTCGCAGTGTATGTTTACTAATCCATAGGGTTCGATTTAGTTTCAACTTTTCAGAAAAGTGACCATTAATCTAAATGGAGGGATTTTTCTAATAAATTTTGAGAACTGTTATCGAAGCAAGAATGATTGGCAACGTTTTTTACTCCACAATTCATAGATTTGAAGTGTTTCTGATACCTGGCAAATATAACTCAGTAACAAAAAGGATTATTGAGACCATAAGCATTTTTCAAATAATACCAGTACTTTCTACACTTCATTCCATCTTTCGATGATGTGACAGTAAAAGACTTCTTGGGTATCATTACGAAGATTTGGTTTGATAATTTCAAATAAATTGAGCATTGGGTAGATTGTCATAAACAAATTAATATATTTGGTTATTTATCCTCTGGAGAAGTGGCTTACACTGAGTCACGAAACGTCAGAAAATCTAATTTTTCTACTCATTGGGATATTACAAATATATTAATTTATTTAATAAGACTTTGTTTATATAATTAACACGGTGATAAAATCAACCATAGTTTTCGCAAGTTACAGCGCACAGTTCTCTAGAGTGTTCCATGGACTATAACTGTAAGGAATGTGATGACATTGATAATTTACGTACATCCCGGTTATTTTAATAGTTTACACTAACTATTATAACGTAGGATCAGGAATATTAGTAATACACTAAATACATATGAAACTTTAAAAAGGATTACTGTGACAATTTCGTGGAATAATGCGAACTTAGCGTAAATTCTGAAAACGACCAATAACAAAGTATTTCCACATAAAAGAGCATGAAATATTTTTCAACTTTTATAGACTGAGCAGATAAATTAAAATTTTTTTTTCGATTTTCAGCTTTGTAAAGATAGTTGTGAAGCTCAAGCGTGGAGTGTGGGTTGTATTTTAGAAGCTCTGTATGAACTTATTTTCACACAGAACGAATGAGGTCCTCCAAATTTTAGAACCACATTAGTTATCTTAATACGTTTATTTTAACACTAGTTCAGCAATCCCTTACCTATAAAATGTTATCTTTATCATAATTTGAATGACTGCTTAATTTTGCTTTTATATTTTAAACTTTTACAAGATTTTTCTGATTGTAGTTACACTTAACAGTCAATTAGTACGTTATTCATCATACAACCTAGATAAATAAATAAAATCCGTATCCTGTCCTTTCTTGTAAATTCTTTTTCCAGTGTTTATTGTTGCCTGGGTGCAAATAAAGTGATATTTAGGTGCCTTAAAAACTAACCCAACTGAAACACTTGATTAAGCTTCATGGATTTTGAGGTTCAAGATTACATACTTGCGACTGTTACCCCTCGTAGAACATACAAAGAGTTTTGAACAGGCATCAAACGTAATTAAAAACTTATTAAACACCGCACTTGGCATGGAAGATAGGACTCTGTTCCGTGAACAAAATGAACGAATTGTGTACATATCAGCCTGTAATATATTTTACGCTGAAAAATCCTATCGTATATTTCTGACTCATAATACTGAACATGTAAGCTACACGAGAAACTCCCTGTCACTGTTGAAGAATTTTAAAACCCATAAATCAAATTCGATGTAGTTATCATGCTTTCTCGAATACTTGTCATTATAACAATGGTAAGAATATCCAAGCTGTTCATACTTGTCACTCCTCGACCCCATTAGATTCTTTTCAACAATCACTCCGGTATCGAATTTCTCACTGCAATGTATACCATTTCCACTCCTTTCTCTGTTCAATCTATCGACTTAATCCCATAGGCCTGTTGTCTGACTCGATTATTATTGAATGATGACGTTAATAAAATACACATCCCGCTTGGCCTCGTACATATTTGCGTCAGTGCATGACGAAATAAAGTAGGCCGAATACGAGAATGAGTTTTCGATACATATATCTCATTCATCTGTAAACGCAGACAGACAGATAAGAGAGAAACTGATCGAAGAAGGCAAACGTGGCATATCAATTTAATGAGGCGTGACTCAATATTTATAGTCAGACAGAAAAACCGACTAAATATATTTGACTAAAAGAGTGAGTGGTAGACCCACACTCATTTACTTAAGCCTGTTACCCCTGGTACAACATAGGCCCCAGTCAGGATGGTCCAACCGACTATGTTTCCATCTCTTCCAGAGCTTTTCATTCAAGCGTGATTCGGTTGATGCTCGTTGTGTTGCATTTCGGGATATTGCTTTCTCCCTTGCGTATATTGAGGCCTACTGTTGCAGACGCTGCTGCTACTCTGGCTAACTTTACCAGCATTTGTTGCTGTGTACAGCATGGAAGGCATAGGGCCACTCGCAAAGTCCAAATTGTCTAGCTGCATCCATCCTATGCACTGCATTTCGTGCTTCCCCTGAGATGTACAGGTCTTCATAATCCAGTCGGCCATCAAAAGAAAGGACGGAAGTAAGCAGACTCGTCTGACAATAGTGTTCGCCTGGAAGACATTTGTGAGCTGGCCTACATGCACGACTTTGCAGTGTAGCATGTCGTAAGAATTCCGTATGATAATGACATGCTTCCTAGGTGCTCCATAGTATCGAGGACGGTTCTACTGGGTCCTCATATCTATGCTGTCAAATGCTTCCTCGTAGTCAAGGAAGCTGATGTATAGTGACCAGTTCCATTCAACTGACTGCTCAACAATCATGCGTAGTGTGGCGGTTCGGTCTGCACACGACCGATCCTTACAAAACCCCGCCTCTTCATTTCGAAGTTGGGCGTCTACTGAATCTTCCATTCGGTTCAACAACACTATTGAAAAGCTTTACTCGTACTAATAGTACTGCGATGCCTCTGTAGTTCTCACAATTGCTGAGATCTCTTTTCTTAGGTATCTCGATGAGGTGTCCTTCTTTTCACTCTGTTAGTACTTGCTCTTTCTATCGAATCATTTTGAAGAGAATGTGAAGCATCATTGCAATTACTTCCATGTCTGACTTTAGTGCTTATGTTGGTATGCTGTCTGGTCCTGCTGCCTTATCACTATTGAATGTTTTATGGAAATGCATACTTATTTGATTGTTGGTGTAGTAACATCTATGGGAAGGTCTGTGTGTTGCCTCAAAGTTGTTTGGGTTCAGCGGGGCTTTTCTACTCAAGAGCTTTTCAAAGTGTTCTACACGCATGTATCCGTTGCCGTTCAATCTGTGATTGGTATACCATCTTTTTTGACTGGTCGCTCTAGGTTATTATATTTTCCTGCTTGCTAGGCTGAGTATATTATTTAGTTACACTATTATGGTCAGTTTATTGATCTCACATCGTTGTGTGTTACTAAATATCATGAACATCTTGCTACCCTTATTTACATAGCCAGAAATTATTGTCTTTAATTTTGACCATCCAGGTTTCTAGCCGCCTATGATTTATTTAGCAACGATATAATGTATCTTAACCGGATCGTGTGGCTTAGGTTTTATTCTACAAATACGTCGGATAATTAGAAAACGGCTTGATATGTTGATAATCCGGTATCGCATCAGCAGACTTACGTCATTGATGGAGCATTATTTGGAATCCCAATCAAGACCGATTATTTGGAACATAAACATACTTCCTCGCATAATTTGACTCAGATACTGAATATATATATATTTTATCCTTTCGTATTTTTAAAGATCTTGTGCCTGAAATGTCCACTCGGTGAGTAATGAGGTTTTTTGTGGAAAGGGAGTAAATGCTTGAATGAATGTGGAGCACTTACAGTGCTTTACAACATTAAGCAGCTTTTTTATTTGTAATGATGGTAAAATATTATGAAAGGGCCGCCAGGCATAACTATTATGCACTTAGTAACCACAATGAAATCTTATTGTCATAATTTCATCACACAGAACTAACTCTAAAACGGATACATTCGACCTTTAGTGATTGTATTCAGACGATTTGTCAATGTACATTACGTGAGTATAGTCGGTATCTGCTTTTATAAGCTACGAAGTCATCAACTAAGACTTGATAAGTATCTCGCTGAGGTTGGATAGAAGTCCAGAGACAAATTGCATTTTCAAATGAGGAATGTCAAGTATGCTAGTACCAATAAAAATGAGTGGTGAATATTTTGTACTATTGTTGACATAATATGAAGCTGTGATGAAACATCTTATTGTCAAATGATATCTAAAGCGATATCCTGACTTACTTTTTCGGAATTAAAATAATTTATATTTTCCTGAAGGTCTCAAAATACGGGTTGTTTTCTGCAAATTCTAAAGAAATTGTAGTTACTCCTTTTACCATAGTTTGATATTTGTCGAACACTTGTTTGGTTAATTCGTCTTACCTTTAAGTATTGAGCCTTAATATTACTCTACACTTTTTATAATTTGAAGTTGTCCTTTCTTCTCCAAATGATTTCTCCAATGTTTAGTTTTCCACTTTATTATCGATGTGATCATGTAGAGTCTTTCGCTATTTATCTTGTTAAATTTAGTGTTGTAATATGGTAATGCTTGCCCTTCACTAAGTTGTCTTTATCCATGATATGGATTTTATTTTTAAACAAATGAAATGGGTTATTGTGATTAATTTTAATTCACCTAGTTTCTGAAATAGCTCAGTATCAAGATTATTGGAGGTATGAGAGACAAGTACATTAACCTAGGGTGTATTTAGTAACCTCAGACATGACCTTACGAAGTAACAACGTTGACCTGCATTTGACCATAGGTGAAAACACATAATTGAGTTTTTCGGACATACACATTGATAAACAAGCCAGATGGTACAAAAATCAAATTAGCACCAATTTACAATGGATATTTGAATGTTAATTTTCCAACAGGTATGTTGTAGTCTTATTAGATTGCAGAACAAAATGAATGCGGCATCATACAATTGTACGAAATACCTAAAATTTGGACAACAAAGCTATTAGTTCTGCAAAATGGTTGGATAACGAAGTAGAATACAAGGACATGTTGCGGAAGTTTCTTCTGTGATCGATTTCTTTTTCTTAACTTTTTCATTGGTCCAATTTAATAGGGGGTAAAGTAATAACTACCACGTCGCCTGAAAGCATGGAAGAGAAGATAAGCCTTAGACTCTCAAGAAAATAATGATGAATTTTACTAGTGCTTGCGATACTTACCGATATCGTGGGAATCGCATTCGGCCAGCATATGCTGGACGGAAACCAATAGACATCCCTCTGCCGCGCGCGCGACCTCTCACGAAAGGGGGACGATTTGTCATGGACATTCCTGGAACATTTGTACGTTTAGGTAGGACTTTCAACTGTCGACTTCGAAAAGACGAGTCATCCAGAGCGATTGCAGCTTCAACAGCATCACGAGTATCGAATTCAATATATGCGAATCCTTTAGGGTGTCCAGTAAATTTATTGCATAATATAGTAACACGGTTTATCGGCCCGCAACCACGAAAATGTGCTTCTAGTTCATCGGCCGTAGAACCATAATCAACCTAACTGTTAATTGGGATACCATACTGACTTACATTTCCAACATATACAGAACGCAAGTCAACTTCAGTTTTATCTTCATCTGACAAATTTGAGTTATTGGATTCTGCAGCAGAAAATAAAATTCGAAATGCTAAAATGAAGTCAAATCAGCGTGTACAATACAGAAAACTTGGGTAGCCTAAGCGCGTTAGTTTTTACACCAACTTTAGGAGGAAATAGTTTAGTAAGAACGTCACGTAAAGTATATCGAACAGCGAAAACGAATATCTTGCAGATAACTTTAGAAAGTAATTTTCAACGTGTGACATGACAAACGGCTGGAAAGTATTGTTTTAGTTGTTTTCTGTATACAGACTAATTATTATGTAGACATGAGACAAGTGATCATTTAAATTCATGAGAGATTAAAATGAGCCGGATTCGCTAGACCAGTGGTCAGGCGATATAGAGATAATTTTTTTAACACATAGATATTGGTACAAGGAGGCACCATACACATATACGCCACACAAATTTCATTCGATATGTGTGAGGGCTGTGATACTGCCTGGGTGCCCAAACCGAGGCAGGTGGTTTTCTTAGAGGGCCACACCCCGATCCTTCGACCTAAAGGTCTGATCCACAAGGCAGTGGGGCATCGTAAGGAGATGCAGTCGCCATCCATGCTGTAGAAATTTCATATTGATTTCCACTTTGTGACTATTTACCGACACTAGGTCTGGTAAACAGAAATGTTCAGGTGGTCAGTACAAATCAGCCACGATATGAAAGAGCTATACAGGGTTGGAACTTTTTAGTTTACCATGACGTCTTGTTTAGGATCCCAAGAACTGTGTAAAAAGTCGGTCATGATAGAAGGCAGTTGAGATCCTACCGCAGTTTTCTACTGCATTTCATAAATGATGAGGTTCCTTGCGTGAAAGTACTTATTGATTATTTTTAATTGAGATCTGCGTTTTTGCCAAATGCCATCTGTTTAATTATTTGTTACTTTGCTGCCAACCTTTCTCAAATTCTTTACAATATAATCGGTTCGTTTTTGATGCTCCCACGTACCAAGATATGATAGGATATGTACTCAGCGCTTTCGGTTTGAAACCAATGATCTTAAATCTTGTTTAAACCATCGCGGCTCGGAAAGCGAATCGCCACAACCAACTACGTGTGATCGGCCGGTAATCTGCATAAACCAGTCCTAGAAGAACTATGCTCAATATTGCGTGCCCGATTCTCAGTTACGATATGATGACAGGCAGCAGAATCATATAGACATACGCTCAAATCTGACTAACGACGAGTGATGACACGTGTATGATGTCGTAAAACAGGACAAATGAATTAGAATGTGGTCACTGGTAAAAACGAGAACACAATGGTGTTAGTGATTGAAGAACATGTGAGTTTTCAATGATACAAACATGCATTGAAACAATTTATACAAGCATTGGGGGGGGCGAAACCAGAATTAAACGCTGGGCTAGCATGAAGAGGTGCCAAATTACCAGAAGCAGAAAAGATTGTTAAGCAGCACGCGCCTCCAAACAGTAATTCTACGACTAATAACTTCGTAACGATTGAGGTGAAAACGCTATTGGACAACAGAACTTGTACACAAACGAGGCGATGGTATGACTCAGAGCTAAGTACAGGGGTCTTTTCGCGGGACAAAATTAACAACATACAAATAGCCAAAAACTTACTTGAGATTGGAGACTTGTCGATAACGCGGCGCAAGTCATGTAATTTATTTGCATCTGCTTCAATTTCTTTGAAGCGTTCTTTGATAGCCTCTAACTCCTATAGCAACATAAACTTTTGTAGTACTATTTACAGCATCGAAATGCATTTCGTCGGTCACGCTAACGTCCTCCTTCCCGTTTTCATCTCCGAACTCATCTTCATGAACATCGTGATCTCCATCCAGGACATAATCGCTCATCCTTTTAGCCCGCTTAAGGCCACGGCCCAAAACAACTTAAACAGTATTGGGCTATTGAACTTACTGCTCAAAATCATGTACTTTCTACATTGATTCATATGTTTAAATCCTGTCTGGGATTTTCTTTGAGTTTGGGTGTTAATTAGCAATGTTATATTATATATTATTTAAAGATTTGTATCAACTCTGAAATGTTCGTCATGGAAGAAGTAACAAGTAGGTGTTCCTGAATTATACCAGGTTTTTATTTTATGCGAAAAATTTCATTGATTCATCCGAAAGGCCGAACATACCAAGTTTGCTGTTTAATATCAAATCAGTAATGGATAAACTTGTTGTTCACATTGAATTATATTTATTAAGGAGTTTCTTAATGATTCAGCGTAAAATCCACTAATACACGAAAAGTAAAGTTTGGGATTTTTGTTTGTATGCTAAGTGTTATCGACGTTTTCCGGGATTGTTATTCCACCACAGCGGGTTAAATTTAACGTCGGTGTTTGTTACATATATGCCTGGTATTCACACTTTATAGAGACTAATTCAATAGATTATTGACAGGTCGGCTAAATCTTTGAGATGTATGAGCCTAGTTTGGTCATGTTCATAAAAATAATTAAAATACACTGTTAATTGAGCTTACTTGCAAGCACTGATGAACTTTTGGCTAGATCTTTACGCCTACACACTGAACACCAACTTTGTCTGATGTATCATGCAAATGAATATGATTACCTAATAGATGTCTGCTGAATTCAGGTTAGTAATGCTTTGAAGCAAATAAATGTAGACGTCCTTATGGGACATTATTCACTCTTGACTGCCCTCTATATCTTGAAAATGACGTCTGAATTGTCATAAACTTGTAGTTTATTCTGTCTGTTCAAATAATAGCCAGTGGTGTCCATGAGAGATGCAGATAATGAATTTGGAGTTTTCAAGATCAGGGTTTTCTTATTACGTCAGTTCTTCCGAATGGCATCTAGATTCATTGACCGAATCGAAAACAAAGACTTATTAGGATGTGAGTGAGCAGTTTTTCAACTGACGTTTCTATTAATTTACCAGTTCTTGTTTAGCAATAGTTATGAATGTGGCAGCTGAATCGTCAAAATATCTGTTAAAAGTTGTAGCGATAACAAGGGGTTTAAATGCTGGTTACTCATTACAAATTAATATGATAGAAAGATCAGACGTTTGATGATCGATTTAATCACTGCTTACACTTCGTACTGTAATCCCAGATGGATAAAAGTATGAACCGTTGTTCAGAAAACCGCAGAATAAATAATATTATTTTCTACCAGTTAGTTAGTTTAGCTTGATTACTATTAGTTTCTTTGTCATTTGATTGAGTAAATACAGGAAGTGCAGGACCACTTTCTTGAAAATACTTGGAAAATATTTGAAAATATTTAGGAAAGGCAAATAACTATATTGAAATGTCTGTGAATTGTGCTGACAGTTGCTATTGCAGAATAAGCTTAATGGATCCGAAACGTTCCAGCCATTGAAGAAATTCTAATCAGTTAATTAAATCTTTACAGTGTTCACACGACATCTCCAATGAGTTACTTTTCCGTTCACAGTAACGTAAATTATATTGATGTTGGGCTTGCCATTCCACTAAGATAACTCATAACATGCCAACTCAGGCTTTAACGTTATGACCTAGTAACTGACAACAGATGAAAAAATGGGAATTACAAAAAATAACAGATATGGTCAGTCTTCAGTAATAAGGATAGGAGGTCTGTCGACCTATATTAATCCTTGCAGTTTGTAATACTGTGGAGGTCCAATCTCGTTTTGAATATATTAACAGACGGTGCTGATATTACGTGTTCCGGTAGAGAATTCCAGTAATTCACTACTCGGTGCGAGAAACGGAACTCCAGACGTAAACGGTTTGATCTCGGTTTTTGAACTTTCTTCGAATGTCCTCTCAAATGATCGGTTCTAGACGGAAGCAAAAGATAAGACATGTTAATACCAAGGTCATCGTTCAGTATACGATAGGCCAATATTAGATCACCCCGTATTCTACGGTAAGATAACGGAAATAAGTTAAGGTGTCTCAGTCTGTCTTCATAAGATAGGCCAGATAGACCTTGTACCATCTTAGTAGCTCGTCGTTGGACTCTTTCTAGCATATCTGCTTCATATTTGAAACAAGGACACGCTGCTTGAATCCCGTATTCTAAATGTGGTCGCACATAAATCGGGTATAGTAATCTAAACATTTCATCATCTAAATACTGGAAAGACCTACGAATTGACCATAATACCCTATAGCCTTTTGCAGCAGCAGCCTTACAGTGACTAGTCGTTTTGAGATCATTGCTTAATATGACTCCTAAATCTTTATAGTTTCTTGCTTTGGGTAGCACGAATCCACGTAGTGTATAGTCATACGATTCATCAGAGTTATTTAACTGCATCACTACACTCTTATTAGGATTTACTTCTAGTGACCACCTGTCTAACCATGCCACCAATGAGCTAAGATCGTCCTGTAATACTATTCTATCCGACATACTATGTATGGGTCTCCAAATCTTTATGTCATCAGCGAAGAGTAGAACGGATGATTTTGCTACAGTTGGCAATTCATTTACATAAAGTAAAAAGAGAAGAGGACCTAGGATTGTACCTTGGGGAACCCCACTTTTTACAGGTACCCACGAGGAGAGAGCCCCATTAACCCTTACCCTTTGTCTCCTGTCATGGAGAAAGTTACTTATCCAATCGACGACTGTATAATGGATTCCAAAACGTTTCAGTTTGAATTTAAGACCAGAGTGGGAAACCTTATCAAAGGCTTTACTTAGATCTATGAAAATCACATCCACAGGAGCATTCCGATCCTTTGCCGCAGCCCAATCTTCTCGTGCAATGAGAAGATTTGTCAAGCAAGATAGGCCTTTCCGAAAACCATGTTGTGCCCTGGAGAAAAGATTTTGCCCTTCAACATAGTTTATAACAGCTATCCGAATGATTTTCTCCATCAGTTTTACAACTGCACTAGTTAAGCTAACGGGTCTATAGTTACTAACTAAATCCCTACTCCCAGCCTTATACACCGGACTTATTATGGCGTCTTTCCAGTCTCTAGGAAGTCTGGACTGTCTCAGAGACATGTCGAATAGTATCGCTAATGGTTCAGCAATTTCATCTGATATGGCTTTCATAATCCTAGGATGAATATCATCAGGACCACTGGACTTATCAGGTTTGAGATGCTGAAGTAGCCTTAAAACAGTATCTTTCTCAATGACTACAGGATCCATCAGCGAGCCGTCACGGTCGCGACGAATCATTGGTCGTTCCTCATTACCGATAGAAAACACTTTACTAAAATATTCCGATAAAGCTTCAGCTTTTTCGGCATCATTCTCTGCTAAGATTAACGGATTGTCTCGTATCAAAAGTGATGGAATTCCATCGCTTCTCTTAGTTCGCCTTTTTATATACGAGAATAACCGTTTCGGACTATATCTAGAATCCCTAACCAATTGTTTTTCGTATGATAGTCTAGTCTTGCTTATTAACGCTTTACAGGCATTCCTAATCTTACAATAACTGGATCTGTATTGTTCTAAGCCAGTAGAGATGAACATATTCCAGTGATTCTTCCTTTTTCTAAGGAGTTTCCTGACCGTTTTAGTTATCCATGGTGGACTATTATTCGGTCTTCGCGGTACCAGGTATGGTATGAACGGGGACGTAACTAGTCTAAATTTACCTTTAAATACAGACCATGCTTCTTCAACTGATATGCTAGTATCTACTAACCAATCTGTCTTAGCAGCGCATTCCTGAATGGCTGATATGTTAGCTTTCCATACATTTGGGCGAGGTGTAACCTGATCGTATAACATGTCCCTAGTTCGAAACGTGAATGACAAAACAGCGTGATCGCTGTTCACTAACGATGGGAGAATATTTAAGTCGACAATATCCTCAGTCTCATGAGTGATTACCAAATCCAGCAGAGAAGAACCCTGGTTAACACCAAAACGTGTGGGTTGGGATACATGCTGCACTAGTGCATGCTCCATTATTGTTATCAGGAACCTACTATCAAAGGAGTTTATAGATCCTTCTGTGGTCATATCAGTCCAACTAATATCAGGTGCGTTAAAGTCTCCTATTATCAAACATCTGGTATTTTCACTCCAAAGATGAATGTGCTCTAAAACAAAGTCATCAGCTAAGCAGATTGGGCTCCGATAGATGACACCTAGCATAAATGTACTACATCCTATAGCCAACTTACAGCTAATGACTTCACAAGTGCCGCTATCATGGGATTCGCTAGTAGAGGAGCGGATATTTATGCTATTGGCTATGTATAACAGGACGCCGCCTCCTTTTCTACATCTATGTCTATCACTCCTGATGCAATGGTATCCGGATAATTCTGGAGTAATGTCTAAGTCATCGACTAACCAAGTTTCTGTCACTGCTACTATGAGTGGCTTTAACCTGTCCACTAGTGCTTCTAGTTCATAGAACTTATTTCGTAAACTACGAGCGTTGGCATATAAAACTCCTAAGTAGAACAGCCTATCCACACAGGCCTTGGTAGCATTCGCTTCCAAGACCTGACTATCCGAAAACCCACTAGCCGGAGATTTTCCTCGCCGTTTTGCCGACGGGTTTCAAGTTCAGCTAGTGCTTTCTTCCTTTTTATTCTATCTTCGAGAGACATGTCAGGTCTAACTCGGATGTCAGAATTGTCGTGACAACGAGCGCTACTTAACAAGAGATCCCGTTGCTTCTCCGATCCTAGGATTACCTTAAGGAGTCTGCATGGACGGGGTTCAACATTGTCCTCGGTCCTCTTGCCTATTCTTACCAACTTTTTAACCTGAACTCCTTTGGAGTTATCTGGTAAAATACTACGAATGTATTCTCCTAGCTTTTCTAAGTCATGCGCGTGTCTAATTTTCGGATCAGGGTCGTTTGACTCCCGCAATTTGCTCACAATAATATTCGATGTTATTAGATTTTTCTTCTCAGTCACGCCAGGATGGGTT